CGCCATGTGTAAATAATCTGGACAAGGTGACTCGCGAGCTGTGCTCGAATGTAACACCTGCAAGTTGAGATGAAAAAAATAACAACAACAATTAGGGGCTCAAAAATCATTTATTATGGTTAGCAGCTCCGTAAATAAAGATATATTCACAACAACAATTAAAGTTGCATCATCATTTTTATAAAACAACAGCAAATTAAATTAACAATGTAAAAATATATTTTAACATATTGCCACGTGGAAAATTAGGGAAGACAAAAACTTCAGGAGGAAACAAAATTTATTTCAGGGAAGGACAAAGTATATCAAAGGTAAACAAAAGATAAGCCACGAGGGAAATTTACAGAGTCGCAAGATATAAAACATAAAAATGACCACTCTGTTAAATAAAAAATAATAAAATTAAGAAATACTATGTTACATAAATAAAATTAGATAATAAATGGCATATATTGGATTTAATAAAATATTTATTTTGCCAATATTTCGGCTGGCTGAACGCCAACCTTTATCGAGGCATTACATTTTTGTATACACAAACTCAGCGCCGCATAGTGTTATAATATCACAGTTGAAATCAATTAAAATACAGAGTAGGTGGAAGAAAATTTGTGTATGAAAAAATTATTATAAAAAATGCAATCAAAAATGTAAAATATCTTAAAATATAAAAGGAAAAAAGTTCTATCTTATATTTAAAAAATTGTAATATAAGTACATAAAATAATTCATTAATAACTCATAAAGAGATAAATGTAAAAATGTGTGTATCTATTAAAACATTTGAAAATAAATTTTAAATGATTTAAACAATAAACTGTAAGAACCTTATAAAAAGTTTTTAAAAATGTGGGTATTTAAAAAATTCATTTCAAAATTTAGGAGATCGATTTATAAATAAGTAAGAAATATTTTATAAAAATGCATTAAAATGGAAGTTAAAACAATTTAGGATCAATAAATGAGAAAATAAGTTTAAAAATGGAAACTAAAAAGTTTAAATTTTCCATTCCAAAAAAGTTTCCATTTTTAAACTTATTTTCTCATTTATTCATCCTAAATTGTTTTAACTTCCATTTTAATGCATTTTTATAAAATATTTCTTACTTATTTATAAATCGATCTCCTAAATTTTGAAATGAATTTTTTAAATACCCACATTTTTAAAAACTTTTTATAAGGTTCTTACAGTTTATTGTTTAAATCATTTAAAATTTATTTTCAAATGTTTTAATAGATACACACATTTTTACATTTATCTCTTTATGAGTTATTAATGAATTATTTTATGTACTTATATTACAATTTTTTAAATATAAGATAGAACTTTTTTTCCTTTTATATTTTAATATATTTTACATTTTTGATTGCATTTTTTATAATAATTTTTTCATACACAAATTTTCTTCCACCTACTCTGTATTTTAATTGATTTCAACTGTGATATTATAACACTATGCGGCGCTGAGTTTGTGTATACAAAAATGTAATGCCTCGATAAAGGTTGGCGTTCAGCCAGCCGAAATATTGGCAAAATAAATATTTTATTAAATCCAATATATGCCATTTATTATCTAATGAATTAAGTATGGATTGCTCTATTTTCAAAATAAATAAAATTAATAAATACTATGTTACATAGCTTCTTCCCTATGGGAGCTGTGACCCACAGCTAGCAATTATTGTAGATACTGACGTAGATTTGACGTGCTTCTGCCAAGGATTCCATCGAAGTCTTGGAACTTTGTCCCTAGTACCTTTGCGTCCATTTTCTTGCGGCGTGAAGAGCGGCTTTGTCGTCGTATCGTCGTCTATAGGGACATCGTCATCTCGGAGGGAAGTCTTGGCTTTGACACGGCGATGGAATCCTGGAGCCAGTCTCTAAAAATGTGGATTACAGCACCCATGGCTTCAAATTCTTCTCGGCGATCTTCAGTTTGTCTTCCCTAACTTACCCAGCATCTCCACCAAAATGCCACGTGGAAAATTAGGGAAGACAAAAACTTCAGGAGGAAACAAAATTTATTTCAGGGAAGGACAAAGTATATCAAACAAACAACAACAACAAAAAAGCCTTTATTTAGGGTCACTGACCCTATACAGGATTCACCAGAGGTATGCATAAGAACAAAGCAGTGAGACAACGGAAATAGCGATATATACAGAGTAAAAAGAGAAAGAAAAAAAAAACAAGAAAAGGAAAAAAAAAAAATAAGAAAGAGGGAAGCAAGAAAGGACAAAGTATATCAAAGGTAAACAAAAGATAAGCCACGAGGGAAATTTACAGAGTCGCAAGATATAAAACATAAAAATGACCACTCTGTTAAATAAAAAATAATAAAATTAAGAAATACTATGTTACATAAATAAAATTAATAAATACTATGTTACAATATTACATTTTAACATTTAACACAAAACCGTTACAATTTTTTCTTTAAATATATATTAATACTAGCGGATGTGTACCCGGCTTCGCCCGGGTTTTATCCGAGTGAAAGTTTGCCTAACGAATATTATATATTATGAAGTATAATAAACAATGCTAAAGATTAGTTTTAATTATTAATCAAGATTGTGTGTGAATATGTGAGAAAGATGTAATATCGTTGTTGTTTTCTTGGCCGACTGTTTTACATATGGTGTTATCTTAAAATTGCTTGTTTTGAATATTTTTTTAGATTGAGTTGAATGAATTGCTGAATTTTTTTTGTATTTATATATGTGACAATATCGTTGCGGAATTTCTTGTTGTTCGATTTGAATGGTGAGGATTGGTTGAAACGCAGTCGTTGAGTGGCAAGTGAAGCACACAGTTAGGAATAATCAGGACACATGATGAGGTTTGAAAATAAAAGGTAACTGGGTTGGAGGAAAGAAAGCTTGAGAAGAGCGGAGCGATTTGGATTGTTAATTATCTGATCACATGGCGGTGATTGAACTTAGCTGTGGGATGAGCAGAGGGAGAGAGGTCTCGAGAGTAGATGTCACCTTGTTGGAAGCGAAGGAGCAACTCTAGGTGTTGTTCCTATGAGAGCCAAATCGTTACTGACTGTTCTTACTTCTCGATTTAATACCACGAGTCGTCTTCCTTCCCATTGGTCGAAGGCTGGGACGTGCCCGTTTTCCTATTGGTTGACCTACTTAGTGGATCTTTCTAATTGGACCGGCGACTTTCTTTGGTGAAAGATATGCCCGGCCTGATAGGAAGTATCGAGTGTTAGTTCGACTCTATTTACTTCCGTGGTTGTCAAATACGTCCGGTCTTGTTCCGGAAATTGGGCGTCTCTCAAACTTTTATAACTTCTGGTCACCAGATACGTCCTGTCTTGTCCGGAAGTATTGACTGTACAAGTTATTTATACTGGTGCCCGCTTTTAGCCTGCTTCCTATGTCTTGTTGCCACTTCCTTTCCTCCAGTTACCTCATTCTTTATTAAATCTTTGAAAATCATACATTGTACATGCATAGTGGGTCGGGGGTGCATATAATTATATACAAATTATGACATATATAAATAAAATTAACTCTGTTGATTTTTTTTGTATTTTATCGATAACAGCAAGTTATGTATTTTAAAGTTAGGAAAAATATTTTGATGTTAAGCAAAACCTGCTCCATCTCGTTTTACATAAATGTTGAAAATTTGGTCGAAATTGATGCATTGTTATGAAAGTTTTTAGCGAACACCACTTATTAAATTTCCATTTATATAGAAGATATAATATAAATGAGTTTTAAAAATTGTTAAAAAAAATGCATCGGCAGGGAATCGAACCCTGGCCGCCCGCGTGGCAGGCGAGCATTCTACCACTGAAATATATATTAATATTGAAATGCCAAGTATCTTTTACGTCATTGGAATATTATATTACTAAATTCTCAAATTAAATTTATTATACTTGGAAAACATTTTAAGCATTGTTACAATGTTACAATGTTCACCAGACGCCGCTAGAGTCACTGCTTGCGAGTGAAAGTAGAAAATTTGCAAATAAAATTGTAAAGAATATTTATTTCAAATCAAATTCAAACCAGAAATCTTCCCAGTAGTATAGTGAATAACTTCCTAAAGTTTCACGGCGATTGGATAATCTTACCTTTTAAAAACATTCATCGTGTGAACAAACTAACATTCATCGTGTAAACAAACCACGTGTTAATTATTAACCAATCAAATTCATTTATCGTCGCGACCAGTGCTGCGCCCAAGCGGTAAAAGGCTGGAACTAACGCTTTTTGGTTTTTTATTTTTTAAAAAAAGCTCATTAACTTTTTTAGATGTTTGAATAGCCTATATGTTAAACGAAATCTTCAGCTACCTGCATGCGAAATTCCATAATGATTGAGTCAGTAGATTTTGCGTGAAGCGATAACAAACATCGATTTCGCATTTCATTTTTATAGATATATAATAAAGGAAAGGATTATTTTTTTTTTTTGCTTATCCCTAGTACACGTGGTACAGGCCATGATAATCATGGTGGGTATTTGGCGACTGCTTTTTACTGTAAGCGCACCACATGTCTACACATGTGAAAGCAGTTCGACTTTGCACTTACAAATGTGCCAGAGCCCCGTTTGGTTACTTGCACTCGGTGGTGGGGTTGGACTTTTGCAAGAATCGGGGGGCCATTGGAGCATTTTTTTTTTAAAACAGAAAAAAGTTTCCAATGCGGGGATCGAACTTGGGTCGTAGTGGTCGTAAACCAAACGGTTTAACCAGCCTTCCACCGACCCCCACACGTGGTACACGTTTGGTTACTTGCACTCGCTGGCGGAGTTAAACTTTTGCAAGAATCGGGGGCCATTAGAGCATTTTTTTGTTTTAAATTAGAAAAAAGTGCCCAATGCAGGATTCGATCCTGGGTCGTAGCGGTCGAAAACCGCTAAAATGTATATTGTATAGAGCGCCTTCTGTAAAGCACATGTGAACCTGGTCAGGATATGCTATTTTTATTTTTGATTTCAACACCTGACCTTTTTATCTTTTATTTTTTTCTTTCATTTTTTTTTTCATATTAATATATACAGTTATCAGCGTCATAATCAATTCTTTCTTAATCAATTCTGTCACCGTTTGCTTTGTGAATGGAATAAATACCCAAATATGGCCATTTCTCATAACCATCGGTGGTTCAGTGGTAGAATGCTCGCCTGCCACGCGGGCGGCCCGGGTTCGATTCCCGGCCGATGCATTTTTTTTCACAATTTTTAAAACTCATTTATATATTATACAAGAATGACATCCACGGCGCCAATTTATAATTGTAACGAATAGTATTTGAATAAAAGCATTTAATCGGGTAAAACCCGGGCGTTGCCCGGGTCATTCGGCTAGTATAAATATATGAAGCAATACTGTAGATAGAATAACAATTACTTGCAAAACCAAACAAGAAGAATAATTGAGAAAATAAAATGAAATGTTATTTTACACACAAATACATTTATGCTGATAATTTAATTAATACAAGGTATGTCCCATAAGTTCCCGGACTGGGTCCATAAAAAAAAAAAGGTAAGATTTTTTAAATTTTTTTTTATTAAAACTTTTCAAAGTAATCCCCCCTTGCTTCAACGCACCAGCGCCATCGTTTCTCCCAATTGTCGAAACAGTTTTTATAAGCCTCTTTTGGAATGCTCTTCAATGCTAACGGCGATTTTTCTATTATGTCATCCCTGGTGTCAAAATGTCTTCCTTTTAGAACTGCTTTAAGTTTGGGGAACAGGAAAAAGTCATTTGGTGCGATGTCTGGGAAATAGGGTGGTTGAAGTAGGATTTGTGTCCCGTTTTTCGCCAAAAAGCTAGTCACCAAGTGCGCTGTGTGAGGGCGAGCATTGTCATGGTGTAGGATCCAGCCACCATTAGTCCATTTTTCTGGCCTTTTTTTTTCGAATCGCTTCCCTTAGACGGCGAAGAATGCCCAAATACATTTCCTTAATAACTGTTTGGCCTGCAGGAAGATACTCGTGATGAACAATGCCCTTGTTATCCGAAAAAGCGACCAGCAACACCTTGTTTCTGGATTTTTTGGGTCTAGGCTCACCCTAACCTCTCCACTCGGCAGATTGAGGTTTGGTTTCAGGGTCATAGCCATAGACCCATGTCTCGTCGCCTGTGATTATCTTGTCTTTCCATTCTGGATCCGTTCTTGTCATTTCCATCATGTCCTCACAGGTTGCAAGCCGACACAGTTTTTGCTCATTGGTGAGGAATCTTGGGATGAATTTTGCACGAGTCTTTTTGAGCTTCAAATCTTCGGTTACGATCCTTCCAATCGTTGTTTTAGAGATGCCTGTGTCTTGCTCTAGCTCCAGCAAAGTGGTTCGAGGATTTTCCTTTATCAAATCGGTGATTTTTTGCACATTTTCAACAGTCCTTTGAAATTTTGGGCGTCCTTGACGAGGATCATCTTCAATGGAAATTCTGCCAGCTTTAAATCTAGAATGCCATTCAAAAACAGTTGTTCTCTTTGGGGCGTCATTGGGGAATGCTTTATTAAGCATTTCAAAAGTTTCGGTTGCTGATATTTGAAGTTTCACACAAAATTCTGTGCAAATCCTCTGCTTCAATTTTTGTTCCATCGTAAAATCGCCGCAGCGCTAGGTGTGACCTTTAAATAAATTAGAATAACCTTGGCGCGCGCGCAAGTACCGCCTCGATATTGGTACCACCGTGTAGCCAGATAATTTTTCTATAATAAACAGTCAAATTCATTTACATTTTTCATTTATTTATTTTTTTTATGGACCCAGTCCGGGAACTTATGGGACATACCTTGTATAACACCCACACTCACCAAAAGGTGATTAAAAAGCTTGTTGAAATGATGGGAAATTATCCAGTCATGATTCCCAGTACACCACTAACACCAGTAGTTTTGGTGAATTGGCAGCTTATACTGAATGTTTGGGATTTTGATTCTATTACTGCCCCTCTTTCGCAATATGGCCATCTTATAAAATAATTAAAGAAACAGATTCCAAGGCTGAGTTTCTTACTTCATTTTAAATTCATGTCAAGTTTTTCGGGTATCACAAATTCTTCTACAGGAGGATATGATC